TCAGTCTAATTGAATTAGACCAATTTTGTGAAGCAAATCGGAAAACTTGGCTTCACTTAGTGGTTTGGTGAAGATATCCGCCAGTTGTTCTTCAGTTGAGATATACTCAATTTTGATATCTTTCTTTTCCACATGATCTCTGATGAAGTGATGCTTGACATCAATGTGCTTAGTGCGAGAATGATGCACTGGATTTTGAGAGATGGCTATGGCACTTTGATTGTCACAAAAGATTGTCACTTCCTTTGTCTTGAGTCCATAGTCCAGTAGTTGTTGCTTTAGCCACAAAACTTGAGCACAACAACTACCAGCTGCAATGTACTCTGCTTCTGCTGTTGATGTAGAAATGGAGTTTTGTTTCTTACTGAACCAAGAAACAAGATTTCCACCAATGAATTGACAAGTACCAGATGTGCTTTTCCGGTCAACTTTGCATCCGGCAAAGTCAGAATCTGAGTATCCCACTAACTCAAATGAATTGCTCTTAGCATACCACAAACCCATGTTCTGAGTTCCTTTGAGGTATCTAAGAATCCTTTTAGCTGCTATCAGATGACTTTCCTTTGGCTTAGACTAGAATCTGGCACAAACACCTACTGCATATGAGATATCCGGACGGCTTGCAGTAAGGTAAAGTAGAGATCCGACAATTCCTTTGTAGAGAGTTTGATCTACATCCTTTCCATCTATATCCATATCAAGCTTGGTGGATGTATTCATAGGGACAGAAATGGATGATTTCTGATCAACTTTAAACTTCTTGATAAGATCCCTTGTATACTTGGCTTGATTGATGAGAGTGCCTTCACTTCTCTGTTTGATTTGAAGGCCAAGGAAGTAGTTGAGTTCCCCCATCATGCTCATCTCAAATTTTCCTTGCATGAGGGTTGAGAACTTGGTGCATAGATCTTCCTTAGTTGAACCAAATATGATGTCGTCCACATAGATCTGAACTAATAGGAGATCTTCTCCATCTTGTAGTTTGAACAATGTCTTGTCAATTACTCCTTTGGTAAATCCATTGTCTATAAGAAATTGAGACAATGTATCATACCAAGCTCTTGGTGCTTGTTTGAGTCCATACAACGCCTTTTTGAGTCTATACACTTGATCTCCCTTAGTGTGTAACTCAAATCCTGGAGGTTGTTCCACATACACTTCTTCCTCTAGGTTTCCGTTGAGAAATGCGCTTTTGACATCCATTTGATATACCTTGAAGTCCTTATGAGCAGCAAAGGCTAGAAACAGCCTTATAGCTTCAAGTCTAGCAACTGGAGTGAAGGTTTCATCAAAATCTATACCTTCTTCTTGACAATATCCTTTTGCAACTAACCGGGCCTTGTTTCTGACAACAACACCGTTTTCATCCATCTTGTTCCGGAAGACCCACTTTGTCCCAATGACATGTTGATGAGTAGGTCTGGGAACAAGTTTCCAGACATCATTTCTGGAAAACTGGTTGAGTTCTTCTTGCATTGCATAGATCCAATCAGAATCAGCTAGAGCTTCTTCAATATTCTTTGGTTCTACTTGTGAGATTAAACAAGCAAGCATAGCTTCTAGATTCTGTTGGGCACTCCTTGTGCGAACACCAGATTGAATATCTCCGATGATTTGTTGAGGAGGATGATTCCTTAACCAACGAAGATTGTGTTGATTGGGATTGACTGGTTGATTTAGTTCAGCTTCTGGTTAAAGAACAGAAGTTGTTGGTTTTTCCGGATGGATTGGCACTGGGTCGCCATTTCCGGAATTATCGCCGTTTGAGAGATCCGGAATATTGGAAGGCTGGCCAAAATTTCCGGAGGGCTCAGCACTGTCTAAATCCGGATTTCTCTGTGAGGTCTTCACAGGCAGACTTCTGAATGGAATGAACTCCGTGGGCTTCATTCTATCTCCTTCATTGACTTCTTCATCCTTGTCTGATAGATCCAGAACCTCATGGTCATGCTTTGACGGCTTGTCAACCACATGTTTTTCATAAAAAATAACATGTACTGACTCTTCCGTGATCATGGTTCTTTTGTTGAAAACTCGGAATGCCTTGCTCATCACAGAGTATCCAAGGAAGATGGCTTCATCTGATTTTTCATCAAAAGTGTTCAGATGATTCTTCCCGTTGTTTAACACAAAGCACTTGCTCCCAAAAATATGGAAATATGATATATTAGGCTTTCTCCCGTTCCACAGTTCATAGGGAGTTTTGTTGTGCCTTTTATAAATCATACTCCTATTTTGAGTATAGCAGGCTGTGTTAACAGCTTCAGCCCAGAACCTCTTTGGTAAGGAAGCTTCTGCTAGCATGGTTCTCACTGCTTCCTTCAGGGTTCTGTTCCTTCTTTCAGCTACACCATT